TATGACGTTAAATAAAAAAAGATATGACAGAAGTCCACGAACTTTCCGAACAACCCCCGTATAAATACCGACCCCCTGCCGCTATTTGCGTACACTTCACTTCATTCTGGCCACGCCATAAGACGCTTTCATTAATACATATTATAAAATCAATTACATCAACCAAAATTGGTTTTTAGATTAAAGAAAAAATTAATATTCAACTATCTATTCCGATTTCATGTGGTAATTGTGTGGTAACTGTGTTGCGATGCCGACAGCAAGAGAAAATAAATGCTGCAGAAAAACAAATATTGTGTACAGTTAAATTGAGGAACAATCACTCTGTTTATTATCCGAGGAAAATGTTTTACGTACAGGCAGGAATTATCGGGAGAGGAGATGCTCCCCTGACTTTTTCCTAGAATCAATTTCTTGCTTTTAACCCTTACTTTTTTTTAGAAGTAATTTATTACTTTTAAATTTTCATGAAAGGATGGTAGCAAACCCCTCCCCAATTTGTTACAGTAAGGTCAATTTCCCACACCTCAATATATCCATTTTTTTTTTTATTCAGAAAAAGATTACCCCCTCCCCCACCCCTTTTAAAGTTTTTTTTTTTTTTTTAGTTTGGATTTTTTTCTTTGAAAGAATAACATTTACGTACACAATAAAAAAAATAACAACATGCACATGGTATTTCCTGAATCATTTACTGAATGCTGACTGACGTTTTTCATACTAATTGTTAGGCCATTATTTACACACTGAATTTGACGGATTTTTCCGTTATTTCCCGATCATGACAAGGAGCACACGGCGGGTGTGACCGGTCGGCAGGGGATGCTCACTCCTCCATGTCACCTGATCCCACCTCTGATGTTTGGAGGTCCGTGTTTGCTCTGCTCCTATTTTGTATTGTATAATGGACTTTTGAGCTTGAATACTGTTCGTTATCTCCATATATTTCATTACTACATCAGCCCCTCGGGAAGGACAGATGAATTCTTGTGCGCAGCTCCTGACGAATTGTTAGTCTATATACCCCCATCCCCACTGATTTTTTTTAGACACGATAACTTAGGAAATATACATAAATTCCTTGTCTATTACACTAATACTTTAATCTATCATTTTCCGTTTTTGTCAAGTGTTAGAGATTGTTCCTTAACGGTATATCAGTCATTTTACGATAAAAGGACCAATTCAGGGTATAAATCATGAAAATATTATTGTTTCAAATATCCAATTGAACGTCATAATTCTCTAAAGGACATATCAGTGAACTTGAAAAAAAAAAGAATTGTCCACAAATCTGGTATAGTTAACTTTTTACATCAATTTCATTTTACCGTTGATTTTTAGGTAATTTTACGGAAGTTAATGCTTGAACAAGTCTTATTATTTTTTTTAAATAAAGCTGAATTTGACCAATTTTGTTCAGTTAGAACGCCGAAGTATGATTCTTGAAGTCTGGCATGAATCCGATATCAAGTTAAAATTTCGGTAAAAACATAGTTACGAAGGTTAATTTCCAGCAATAAAAGTTGAAATTCTAGTCAATTATAGTTAAAATTAAAATTTGTGTTAAGATGTAAAATAAAAGTATGAAGCATATCGCTCCCAAAATAATAAAAATGTTTTATCTTTAATGCAAAAACAGTCCTGAATAAATGACAGACAGGGAATTCATGTATATTTGATAAGTTAAATTCTCAGTAGGAAGGGGGGGGGGCAATGTACACAAACCATTCGTCAAGTCCCTGTAATCTTGTCTACTACCAAACTGTAACGAAAATCCTAAAAAACCCAAACAGATATATAATATAAATTTGAAATAAAACCAAGAAATTCGTGAGTCATTTTATGTTTAATAAAACTGTAAACTGGTCCATGTAAATTTTCGCTCAGATAGCGTCGCATGTTGATTGGGTTTAACACCATCTCTTTTTAAATTTAATGTCCATATTTTCCTCAATTTCGAGTCCTTAGAAAATAAATATATACTCATGTCGTGTTCCAATTTATTGGTACAGTTAAAAGCGCACACGGCAACATCTTGCCAACTATAATGTACCAAACCCGGCAATATAAAGTTTGTAGTTTCTATTTCTCGTTGTCTCTTATAACTTCACGCGTCAAGGGAGAGAAGCGACTAACAATACGCGATCCACTTGTCACACAGGTAAATTTAAATGACGATAAGTGATGTAATTGGTGGCAAAAAAATAAACAGACTATATAATGTTATTCATATTGTTCCAAAGGCTGATAATCATGAATAATTATGAATTTTCAAAAAAGTATTATACTTGACCTTTAAATACAAATGTATAGTATTCGCTTCAGAAATGTTCCACGTCAGACGAAATTGAACTTTCTTTTTCTGATAATTGTTTCATTGCTACCTGCAATATAACAGTGTAGTGTGAAATCTGACCTGTTGTTGGCAACCTTATACCTGTTAAAATCGGCCAAGTTTTGTAGTAGTTTATACTGAAACAATTTAAAACAATACCTTTCATTTTATAAATAAAATGCGTCCATTGGCATGCACATATTTTGAAATATTGCGTCCTGAGGAATTCATGCGTAATTTAGGCAGGACGCACATCAAAATGAAACACTGAGTTTCTAATTCGCAACACCTATGAGAAGATTAACTACGATCAAATGTCAAATGAAATCAGTCAGTTCTAATGTAAGAAGTAGCAATAGTTTATTTGATTTGATTTTTTTTTCTTTATTTCTTTTTGTTTTTTTTTACGCTTCTTTCCTTGATCCACTACTCCATAAAAAGTTATTCTCAACATAACTGACCAAAAAAGTCGAATACATTTTGCAGTGTAGCAATTTGCTAAATCTCGATGCAAAATGTAACAATGCAAAATATAATTATTCAAAATTGTGCTATAACGATTTGCATTAATTTTGACGCAAAATGAAAATGCAAGAGTAATAATCCCAAAAGTCTCTTATTACATTTTGCGTTGTAATCCTGGTTTATTACATTTTGGGTTGTTATTACATTGCGCGTTGTAACAATGGCGTATCTGATTTAATATAAAAAAATAATAATACGAAACTGAGTGTGGATACACATGATATTTTTTATTCAAACTTGAAATATTAAAGAAATAAAAATTTTCAACGATTTTGAACTAGGATAACATAACGTCGCTTCCATAGTTGAATTGACTTTAAACTTTGCTATTTAAATATCTATTATTTTTGTGGAGTGGGCAAATAAATCGGTTATTGTTTTAAATTTTTGATATCAAATTGCAAAATTATTTTGTTAGAAAACATTCTAATTGTGCATACAGGTACTCTGAAGTTGATTTTAAAAAGATGCTTGAGTTTCCGATTGACAATATCTATCATTAAAGTCAAATGCTGAATGACGTTTTTCATACTAATTGCTAGACCATTATTTACACACCGTTATTTCCCAATCATGACAAAGAGCACACGGCTGGTGTGAACGGTCGGCAAGGGATGTTCACGCCTCCTTGGAACCTGATCCCACCTCTGATGTTTCAGAGGTCTGTGTTTGCTCTGCTCTAAAATTTTTATTGTTTAATGGACTTTTGAACTTGAATACTGTTCGTTATCTCCACATATTTCATCACTGAAACGCAGTTGACTTATTAAATTATGTAATTTACAGAAAAGATCTAGCTTTATATAAAGTAATGAAACAAATAGAAAGATCTTTTTTAATTTTGTTTCTCTGAATTTATAAACAATACGCTATACACTCGCTTAGTCCGAACACGAATATAGCAAAAATACGGATATAGTTAATTTTTTTGTCATCATATCAAAATTCTTAACAAAGTCTTGTAAAAATTTCAAGGATATAACGAACTAGGATAAAGAGAATTTACGGTTAAAGCAAACTGATTTTGTGTCCCCTAGAAATTAAAAATAACGAAATTTGCATTTTTAGCGAATGTTCACACGCCTAGTTTTTAAATATTGTAATGACATTTTTTTAAAGTATCTTTAAATGAAAACGAATTAATGAAAAAATAATGTTGCATTCAAGGTTAATTTTGTATTTTAAAGTAATATACATCCCAACCTACACTTGATTGTCATACTATCAGGAAAAAAAAATGTATTGCGAATTCCATATGTATAGTTTTGCGAATTTGGAATACGGATATAACGCATTACAGAATTGGCAAAGTAAATCCACATGTCCCCAAAACTTCGTTATAGCATAGTTTTACTGTATATAACTTTAATACACGATTTATTCTTTGCATTACTTGTTTCAATTATGCCATACAAGTTACTAAGAAAATACAAACAATGGAAAATATGAATCAAGTAAATGGATTGTTTTGTTTCATATTTAACGGAAGAAGTGTATGGAACGGTCGGCAGGGGACACTCACTCCTCCATGGCACTTCAACCCACCTCTGATGTTTTAGAGGTCCACGTTTGCTCTGCTCCTGATCTGTATCGTTTAATGGACTTTTGAGCTTAAATACTCTTCCTCTTCGTTATCTCCATTTATTTCATTATATTCAAAATGCTTTATCTCTCAAAAAATATATCCCTCCAAAAGACAAATGCACATATTAAATTGGTACAATAGCAATGATGAATTTGAAGAATAATTTCAATGATGAAGATCCGCATAGTTTCACTTGAAAACGACTGAGACACCTGTCACTCGTTATCTATATATTGTATACATGTAAAAGTATACATTTTTCGTGACAGCAATCACGAAGAGGCAATACTTAGCAATGCATTAATTTTAGTCATGATACAAACATTTTCTCCCCATAAGAGATAGTTAACACAAAAAAAAATGCCTTACTTTGACTACACGAGATAGAATTTGGTGTATTTCGATAAACCAGCAATTTATTTTGATTTGACGAGATAGTTATCTTGACTTGACGCGATATTATATGTTGGCAGACTTATCTGAATGGCATAAATATGCCACTATACATATATGTAAATAACTGCATGCTTTATGTGACTTTTCAAAACTTACTTAATTGTATCACTGCGTTCGGTTGTTTTTCATCTATGGTTTCTGAAAATAAAGCAATATAATTAGACTTTAATTAGACTTTTGACTTAAAGGCTACAAAAATAAAATACACTGATGGGAATGAAACACCCGCTACTATTTATTGAGGATGTATTGCTAACCTGCATGTGCGAGGTTTTCAGAAAATATGTGCATTCGTGCGAATTTGATTTTCTGAGTAGTTATCGTAGAGATCTGATTTCTTATGAAGAATTGCTAATATATAATAAGAATAATAACTAGAAACTCGTTGCCATGACAACAATAAGGTCTTCCGTCCCTTATTCTTCACAAGAGAATTCATTCCTCCTTCATTATACCGTTGGACAATCCTTGTAACTCATTCATACATGAGTGGTGCAGTGGTTAGAGCGTCTGCTCTAGAGTCGCGGAGTAAGGAGTTGATCCTTACGTCGCAGGTTCGAATCACACTGCGGGACGTGGAGACCGGTCCTTCGGATGAGACTGTATAACACAAAAACCATTGAAGAATTTAAAAAAATAATAAAAATAAATGATTTTTGAATTTCCCTTCCGGTGGAGACCAGAAGCATTGACAACGCACGATAATTTTACCAGAACATCAACAAGACATGTTCATTATCTTCGACTTGTCTCCAGTTCATATCTTTAGCCGTTCTAGAGGAGTTTCGAAGTCAAATGTCCAATTCCAAATCAGAAAATTGGCCATTACATGATATTGGAAGGGAATTTTAAAATATTCTCCTCTGATTCTCAAAGTTCATATAAATGTTCATTGTCCCTGAAAAATACACTGAAAACCACGGTTTCGAGAAAACGCCTGTACAAAATATGGGAAGAAAAATAAGAATTACAATAATAATAAGGCGAAGAAACAATAAAATCACACTAAGGTCTTCTGTGACAAAGAAAGACCTTAGAAAGGAGAAGAAAACAGGACATCGATTTAAACTCTACCAGTTTCAATAATATCATCAGGACTTTTATTCTTCAAAATTATGTATTACTGAAACCTGAATATTAATAATCGGCGTTATGCGATTTTTTATTATTTGAAAACTTGTGTGGATTTTTTCTCATTCTTTGGAATATATTTATGACTATTAGAGTCCGAATTTCCTCTATTTATTTTTCTAAAGACTACTTGTTTTTAATCTAATAAAACAAAACTATAATTTATATAATCTCTATACAATTCATAGTATCAATTGAATTACGTTGTCTTTATTTTGCTTGTATTAAAATTGCATGAGGTAAATGATCATGGAATATGTTGTCTCAAATGGCTTTTATTAATCTTTTGATATCCTTCTTTGTGTACCATTCCATTACTCGAAGTTATGATAGATAATCTTAAACACACATGGCATTGTGAAAATGTATGATCTGGATGTTGTGCGTTCCATTATCTTGCCAACTACGATGTATATTGAAGTCCCTTCTAGCAAAATCCTTAGTTTAAAATGCGGGTTTAATCTTGAATACTTTCTAATCAGGCAAATTTCTTTGGAACCAGTAGTGTCCGGATTATAGAAGATTTACTCTATATGAAAAATGACGTTACAAACACATGTATAGAAATTTTCCTTTTCTTGGCAAAATAATAAAATATCAATCTTTTGTCGTAATTTCCTCAGTTTTACAGAGGATTGTACCGTTGGTTTTGCATATTCTCTTCAAATAATAAAAAAAATCTGTAATCCAGAACCTCAGATGAATGCGTTACTATAAATGGATGAATCAGAATCTGACATTGAATTTTCATTTTAATTTTGAATAGTTTTTCCTTTTGCCAACTTATCTCAAGTTGTTGAATTTATTGTTGTTTAAATATTTGATAGCTATATGTGACCTATTCATTGTATCTTTCAATGGCAATGGTTTTCCCAAAGACTGTTAATTAAATGAGGCAGATGATTGTTATTTTATTCATTATTAAGCCATTGTTTCGAATTTTGGATTTAGATATAATTTCATTGTTTGTTTTATTCTTAATTGCAAAAAAGGCATTTCATTAGTGGAAAGAGGTTGGCGTCAATTATTATTGGAAGTAATTTGGATTTTTTCCTTGTCACAATTGTCATGTTATTCTATGTAGAAAAGACCATAATTGATAAATTAATTCATATAAGAAGAAAAGCTCTGAAGTGAAATATGCTTATGTTGTATTTGTTGTGCAGAGAGATCATATTATATCCATGACAGCGCTGAATGATGCCTTGGCCCCCTTTTCGTTTTGGCTTGTAATTTAGATATATGTACATATATGCAAAATATACTTTATAAAAACAATCGAAAATCTGATTAAGTTGAGCATATATATATATATATATATATATATATATATATATATATATATATATATATATATATATATATATATATATATATAGAAAGCACAAAGAAATTCACTTTTATAAGGATATCCACTTCCGCCCCAGCCCGGGGTTGAACTCTCGACCTACGGAATCTGTCTCCTAGCAGTACAGAAACAGCGTGCTAGACCCCTCGGCTATCTAGGCAAGTCAAAAATCTTGCTTTCGATGCCGATGGAATTCTCGTGACACTGTCCTTCACTATCCAGTCTTTGAGAATGGGAGTGAGATACAGTTATTTGGACATTACTTTTATTAGAGGATCGTTACCAATACACGTTGTAATGAAATTAATTTTTATTTATAAAGGACATTTTACAACAACTCTTAAACTAACATTACTGCCCAAAGTGAAGATATATTTAGAAAAATTATAAGAATATTAGAAAGCAAGTTTCTTGACTTGCCTAGATAGCCGAGCGGTCTAGCGCGATGTTCCTGTACTGCAGGGAGACAGATTCCGTAGGTCTAGAGTTCAACTCCGGGCTGGGGCAGAAGTGGGTATCCTTATAAAAGTGAATATCTTTGTGCTTTCTGTATTAATATTTCTTCACTTAGGGCAGTTATGTTATTTAAAAGTTGTTGTAAAATGTGAAAGATAGATAGATAGATAGATAGATAGATAGATAGATAGATAGATAGATAGATAGATAGATAGATAGATAGATCGATCGATCGATAAATAGATCGAGAGAGAGAGAGAGAGAGGGGCAGAGTGAGTGAGAGAGAGAGTGTGAGAGAGAGAGAGAGAGAGAGAGAGAGAGAGAGAGAGAGAGATAGATGTGGTCTGCATGGCTCTTGCTGTAAAACAATGGATCACACAAGCAAAAAACAATGTATATAAAGATCACATCTGTAAAGTTAACACGCGAGTGAAATAAAATATTTGTAAATCTTAAAAAAAAAACACACACATTTGTATCAAGAAAAAAATATAAGTTATAGCCATAATAAGAAATAAATCAGACATTTTACATATATACATGCATATAAGTGAAATATGCAAGCAATACAAAACATTTTTTTAAATCATTGTCAAAAATAACCTATTCAAAACTTACTAAGATGCTTCAATAGCACTGGATTTACTGTTTCTTCTTTCTCTGAAAATAGTAATGTTATTAAACCTCATTGTTTTATGACCATTTGATACAATGCTGCTTCCTTACCGCCAAATCAAATTTACTAGTAAAAATATAGTACGTACTATGCTGAGCCGCTTTTGACACAATACAAACTTTAAAATAAACAAATCAAGTATATTGAAGAATTTTCTAAACAAATCAACATTAATGGTAACGCACTATCTACATGTACGATGTTCTTCGATGAATTACTTGTTTAAAATATGCGAAAGTTTTCATTAAATCCCTCTATCTTCGTCACTTTCTATAGAAAGAGGTCGTGCTACAAGGCTAACACTAATGAGGAGTACGTGACCTGATGTACTACTTGCTGTAAAACTCCCTGATGCAGACTCATCTTTGCACAAACGTTTGATCTTGCTGCATCAATGTCATATGTACTTGGGTCATGGATAATACATATTTTCTATATAATGTATTGTCTAGGAAATAACAGCTATATACGGAACATTTTTATCAAGTGCCCATTGCTTATTTTTAGTTTTCTACAAATGTTTCTGCTTGATATACACTAAACTGCCACAGAAATTATTTACTATTTTTAGGTTTTAAAAATGACATCTTCCAACTGTTGTATAACGTTCATGATTGTTGTTCGTAAATTATCGTACAATTTCTACTGAGAGAGAAGTTTTATTCATTAATTGTGTGTGGTTCTATTTTTTAAAAGGCAGAATGGTAACACATTACCTGCACAGATTTCTGATCGCGAGTGTAAACAAAGTTTGTTTTTTTTAATTTTATTTATTTATTTATTTATTTATTTTTTTTTTTTTTTTTTTTTTTTTTTTTTTTTTGCAAATTTAAAGTGGCTACAAAATATCTAATAGCAGTTCATCATTCTGACGAAAAATTCTATGTGTTTTTAACATCATTTAGCAATTATTATATACATTAAAGCTCATGTACAGTTGTATTATTTCAAGTAAGTCAATGGCACGCAGGAACATAAAAAAAATAACAAAATTCATTTCAGGCAGCATACATCAATAATTTGCCCTCATATAATTTTAATAACAGCAGAAAAAGTACATATTACATAAATTGAGACGATAAATAGTTCAAAGTTCCTATCATTCATATTTTTGTCATACAAGACCAAAAATGGGTACAAATTAGAAAACTGACAGGGAAAGTTTTGACTGGAACTTTAAAGAAGGTTATTATTATTTAAATTCTTTTTTTTTTAATTCTATTTAGTAGCACCATTACATTTTTATAATTGAATATATTTCATTATCAAAAGATGTGTTACTTGCTATATTTTGTTAAAAAAGATAATATTAGTTATAGTGTAACAAAATTGTACATTTTTTTAAGAAGTAGTCAGTGGTCGCTATAGCTAGACTGAGAATCAGGTCAATAATCTAGATGATTGAGAGTAACTTATTACGCTAAAACCTTACGACTCTAATGTGCAATTAGTGTTTGTGGTGTTATCATGTGGGATTTTATTATCATCTGAGTGAACGTCATCCTAAAGAGAGCAATTATTAATAGTCATCAATTATTTTGTAGACAATATTGAGCTTACTGATTAAAAGTTTGATTATATTCTATACTTGTTTTGTTTTAAACCTTGTTTTCCTGGCAGAAGAACTGCATGTATAAACAAAATGTGATTGTGAAACACCGAGGTCCCCATATGTCAGCTTATGACGAAGGTCAAAGTTCTAAAACGCAAGTTAAACTCCAAGGTAAAGGTCGAAAGATAAAAGATGTTGTTACCCCCCCCCCCCCCCCAATAAAAAGGACTAGTGTCAGTAAATATACTTGTGAAATATGGGAGCCCAGGCAGCAACCATTCAAAAGTTATGGCCGAGGTTAAAGTTATTTGAAATTTTAAAAAGTGTGTCGGACTGCCAGTTGAAGGTCAAAAGGTCAAAATTAACGACACCCAGGAGAAGGCCTTGTCATTCGAAATATAGATGTGAAATATGAAAGCTCTAGCATCAACTGTTCAAAAGTTATGACAAATGTTAAAGTTTTTCAAAAGTAGGTCAAACTCCAAGGTCAGCGTCAAAAGATCAACACTGTTGGTATTTTAAGGAAAGGAACAAAGAATACATCTGAGAAATATCAAACCTCTAGTTCTAACTATTCAAAAGTTACGGCCAAGGTTAAAGTTTTTCAAAAGTAGGTCAAACTCCAAGGTCAACGTCAAAAGATCAACACTGTTGATATTTTAAGGAAGGAACAAAGAATACATCTGAGGAATATAAAAGCTCTAGTTCTAACTATTCAAAAATTACGGCCAAGCTTAAAGTTTTTAAAACTTGGGTCAAAGTCAAAAGTCAAGGTCGAAAATTTCATACCAATGGATATGTTTTGTCACAATAAATACACATGTGAAGAATTAAAGTCTTAGCACCAATTGTTCAAAAGTTATGGCCAAGGTTAAAGGAAAATGTTTCTAAAGGTGTGTCAAACTCCAAGGTCCAAGGCAGGTGGTCAAATATTTTGGCAACCAAATGAAGGTCTTGTCACGAGGAATACACTTGGGAAATATGAAATTATTATGCTTCTTGTCAGTTTGTCTCTATATAGTCAATACCCAACTATTTTCCCATAGTGGTCTAAGGATTTATATAGCGTAAGCATGCTATGCCGAAATAGAGCACGGCTTCTTTTTCTGAAGAAAATCCGACAGCGCCCACGCCGGGAATCGAACTCACGACCCCGAGATTGTCAGTCCGACGCGCTACCGATTACGCCACAGACGCCGTTATCTATAGCACTGTATTATAATATATATAAACTTAGTTTCAAATATTTTACACTAAAAGAAAAAAAAATACACAAAATATTTTTTTATAAAATAGTATCTTGCAATTTTTTTACCCTTCACAGAACTAAAATTCTCTGAAACTATCTGTACATGGAACATTCAAAATTAAAGAAAAAAGATTATGACGTACATGTAGCACAACGTGACGTCATAATAGGGGTGTACTAACATGAATGTAAGAGGTGATGAAACATTGGAAATGGAGAAAATATTGTCATTTTTATACAACAGTCAGCATAATAATAACAATAGTGTTGTACTTTGCATGCACTATGCCTAAATAGTAGTCAGGGTTTGACACATAGTGCACTCGCCTCCGGCTCGTGCACCATGTGTCAAACCCTGACTACTATTTAGGCATAGTGCATGCAAAGTACAACACTATTATATAAGTAATAGCTCTAACCAATCAGAATTTATGGGCAAGGTTAAAGTGTTTGCGGACAAACACGCAGACAGCTAGACAGACAGACAGCTAGACGGACAGGGCAAAACTATATACCCACGACTCTTCAATAATGGGGGCATAATTAATAATATACAAAACTTTAAAAACATTAACTTTGTTGCCAGTGCATAATCATCATATAATTCTACTTTATATTTTAGTACCTTTTGCTTGTTTTGTTGATTTAGTATCTGTCTTTTTTGGCTCTCTCCCATGTTCCTTCAACGTAGCATCTGTTGGTGCAAGATCATAATTATATATCAGAATATATTAAAATGGTTTGTGTAAAAAGATACATTTATTAAGCTTTAAGTAAAAAAAAACAAAACAAAAAGAGCAGAAGTTTCTTCTCGGGATGTAGATTTACAATGTACCGATGTATACTCGGAAGAAAACAGCAATTGGACTTGGTAGCCATGGCAACACAAATAAATAAAGATTATGATTCTTGATTTTGTTTACTTTTGTACAATGTTCCATTTTACAATAAAAACAGTGGCGATTTGAAGAACCTTACTGTGTACCCAATAAAAAAATAAGAAAAAAAGCATCTATATCTAGCCTTAATTGTACAAATTCCTACATAAATCAGACAAAAAGGTTTTACTGTATAGTAAATTTTAATTAAATTGAGCAATAACTAGAGAAGGTGATGTATTTTCTTAGTATTTTTAGCCATTTCAACACTGTTCATGGAAATCAGAAACTTATTAAAGACTCTTCATGTGTGAAATCTTATCTAACCAAAACAGTAGAAGAGGTAGTATTTCAAAACAATCTCAGGGAAATTTCGAATTTAGTTACCATGAAAAGATTTCATCGAAATCACGAACCGATACAAAGAATTATTTATCTTCTAAGAGTACATCTGTGTACCAAATCTTACTGTTCATGAAGTCTTATGGAAATTCTACTGAATCAGTTCAAAACTGCAGGAAGAGTCGAGTTTTAAAGGTATTTCACAGCAATTTCTCCTTTTTTTTTTACGATGGCAACATCTTTCAACTTAATTAGAAATGATATAAAAGTGGTATTAAAAAAAATCATTTATAAACGTTTAGTTTACTTGTGTACTAAGTCTTATTAAAATCAGATCAAACCTGAGGAAGAAGTGTAGCATTTTGAAAGAATTTCTCTGAAATATTTTTTTAATGTTTACAGTCAAAACCGCTTTTTGAATTCAAAAAAAAATACAATGTAAGGAATTATGCATCATTGTTTAGTCTAGATGTTGTAGTGTTTAGAAAACTTTTCAAACAAAAAAAAAACAAAAACAAAAAGAAAACCAAAAAAAAAAAAAAAAAAAAAAAAAAAAAAAAAAAAAAAAAAAAAAAAAACAGACAGAAGGACGGAGAATAGTGATCTAAAACAGTCGGAATTTAGAGGTTGATATACCATTTAGACTTTTATTTGAATGTACTTCAAGAAATTAGCTAAATTTAATTATCAACAAACAATTAATATTAAGAATGAAAGAAATAAATATGCGATAAACCAAAAGCTTTCCCATGAATTGCCCTGTTCATTGATTTGTATTGTCTGTAGATTTTTCAAGATCGTTGAAAGATCGTTATCTTCATTTTTTACTCATTCGTGATCCTTGATGTTTTATTTTACTAACTAGAGTATCTAGAGCAATCAATGAGGATGTTTTATTGGAATTATCATACTTATGATAAGATGAAATACATGTATGACGCTTTCTTATAAGGACGTCTTTAAAA